TCCAACTAGCCATTCTAATACGCAGTCATGAATGGGTTGACATTATTTATACAATTATTACAATAATGCAGTAGTCTGCATAACAGTAAATCTTCTATTTTTTGTGTGAATAAAAAATCAAAATATAAAACAAGAGTAATAAGAGGGACCTGGAGACATGACTAATGAACAGAGAAAATGTTATTTTAGTGCCATGAATGTCTGCATTGTTTATTCTGGACCCTGTTTTGAAATTGGCATCTTTTTTAATTTGAGTGAAATTGGCCAAATTGCCAAATGACCACTTGATTGGGTAGTTGAAATTGATAAATGGGCAGTTTCTTGTACTCAATCAGTAGAACAAATGGAGTTCTAAAGAAATAGCTATGAGTTGGGTCAACTGGAGCAATGGAGTTGGCCAAAAATAGGGCTCAAAGTGGGCGAAATAGCCGATGCGTATACGTGTATTGCCGAGATCGCTAACTTTGCGAGAGTGTAATTCTGTAAGTTTTCCATCAAATTTCGTACTTTTGGTGTCATTACCATTGAGAAAAGATTGTCATTTCATAAGATTTTTTTTTTTTTTTTCCAAAATATTTTGCGACACAGAGGGAGACTTCTTGACAGTCAAAGGATTAAAGGAGTTTAATTTTTTTTTTCATAAGGGGTCCATGTCATTCATTAGTAAATTGTTTGAAACTCTTTAACTGTCTCCCACACAGATCTGTCATTGACACCCATGTCACTTGTGTAGTTCTACATTTTGAGCTCAACTCTCAAACTGCAAGCAGTAAATTTTGGCTTAGGCATGAGAGAATGGGTCTGTGGTGAGTATGCGGTTCTAAAAATTTTTTGCTCCTGCCCAGTGCTTGACAGCAAGAGTAAACCTGACTTTGTGTTTGGTTTAAAATATCAGCTTTGAGGTGTTTCCTAGGGTCGTTTTTATAGTCTTGTTGACGGTTTCTTTCTATCACTGGATAGATTGGAAGCCATATTAATGAAATAGAGATGATTTTTGTCAATTTCAGACTAGCAGTTGCTTGAAATAGAGCTCAAAGTGGCAGATTTTTTTTTTTTTTTTGTGTGTGTGTGTGTGCGCACGCACGCGCGCTCACCTAATTGTGGTTGCAGGCATTGAGACTCAGCTCTTTGCCCCGCTTCTTCACTGGTCACTACTAGGTTCTCTTCCTGCTCCATAAGCTGTATCATACCTCTTCTTAAAACTATGTATGGTTTCTGCCTCCACTACAACACTTCCTGACAACTCTATGACTGAAGAAATACTTCCTAACATCCCTTTGACTCATCTGAATCTTAACTTCCAATTGTGACCCCTTGTTTCTGTGTCCCCTCTCTGGAACATCTTGTCTCTGTCTACTTTATCTATTCCTCACAGTATTTTGTATGTCATTATCATGTCTCCCCTAACCCTCCTGTCCTCCAGTGTCATCAGGCCGATTTCCCTTAGCCTTTCTTTGTAGGACATTGCCCTTGGCTCTGGAACTAGCCTTGTTGCAAACCTTTGCACTTTCTCTAATTTCTTGACATGCTTGACCAGGTGTGGGTTCCAAACTGGTGCTGCATACTCCAGTATGGGCCTGACGTATGTGGTGTAAGGAGTCTTGAACGATTCTTTACTGAGGTATCGGAACACTATTCTTAGGTTTGCCAGGCGCCCATATACTGCAGCAGTTATCTGGTTGATAAGTGCTTCCGGAGACATGCTCAGTATTATCCTCTCTCCAAGATCTTTTTCCTTGAGTGAGTTTTGTAGGCTTTGGCCACCTAGCTCCATCTATGCCTCTCGTTTCTTTCCTCAAAGTCTGCCAGAGATTTAGCACCCTTGGACTTTCCTTCTCACATTGAAGAACCATATAATGTGCCTTTTACAGTTCAGGAACTGAAGGCGACACTCTCCACTTGCCAATCATCGGCAGCTGGGCCTGACGACATTCATATTCGGATGTTACAACATCTACATCAATCAGCCCTTGTAGTCTGCTTACACCTCTTCAATCTTATTTTGTCCCAGCTGTGGACATGTGAGTACTACGGGACATGATGCCTCCCACTATTGACCTATTGCTCTTACCAGTGCAGTTTGCAAAGTGATGGAACGTCTGGTAAATTGACGTTTAATGTGGTATTTAGAGATACACAATAGTCTCTCCACTAGTCAATATGGCTTTCATAAGGGCCGTTCTACCATAGACCCCTTACTACGCTTGGATACGTATGTTCGTAATGCCTTTGAGGATAACCACTCAGTTATTGCCATACTTTTTGACCTCAAGAAGGCATATGATACAACTTGGAGGTATAATATTTTGGCCCAAGCTCACTCCTTAGGCCTCCGAGGCAATCTACCATCCTTCCTTAAAAACTTTTTAACTGACAGACATTTCCGTGTTCGGGTTAATAGTGTGCTCTCCCTGAACTTTGTCCAAGCAGAGGGTGTCCCTCAGGGATGTGTTCTGAGTACAACACTTTTTCTCCTTGCTATAAATGATTTGGCCTCTAGTCTTCCATCCAATATTTGGTCATCACTCTATGTTGATGACTTCGCTATAGCTTGTGCAGGCGCCGACTGTCTCCTCATTACAGTTTCTCTCCAGCATGTGGTCGACCATGTTTCCAATTGGGCCACCACACATGGGTTTAAATTTTCCAGTACCAAAACTCGCCAAATTACTTTCACTAGACGCTCTGTCTTCTCCGATCATCCTTTGTACCTCTCTGGCTCACGTATCCCTGAATGTGATACAGTCAGGTTTCTAGGCCTTCTCTTTGACCGTAGGTTATCCTGGAAACCTCACATTACCTCTCTGAAAGCAACTTGTCACAACCGGCTGAACCTTCTTAAAACCCTTGCTCATCTTTCATGGGGAGCTGTTCGTCGAACTCTCCTTCACCTACATTCAGCCCTCATTTTATCGAAACTCTATTATGGTGATCAGATCTATTCAGCGGCTTCTCCTACCACTCTCTCGAGCCATAATCCCATCCATCACCAGGGATTACGTTTGTGCCTTGGTGCTCTTCGCTTTTCCCCTGTTGAGAGCCTCTATGCAGAAGCGAATATTCCATCCTTGTCCAATCGCCGCAATGCCCAATGCCTTCGCTACTGTGTTCACTCTCATGATTTCCGCAATCCTTCCATATATAGAATAGTCACCGATCTTAGTAGACATTATTTGTTCGTCGCCCCTGTTTGCTCCATCCCTTTTCTCTTCAACTACATTCGCTCTTGTCTTCCCTTCAGTTGCCACCTTTCTATATTCATGTAGCATCTCACTTTTCCCTGCCTCCCTGGGAAAAGTTCCAGCTGTCCAAATCTGTTCTTTCTCACTCCCTTGTACGAAAGCCCAACTGCCTACGGTAAGCTTCCCGCTCTCTTTTTCTTGACCACTTCCGCTCTCATTCTCATGCCATCGCAGTGTACACAGATGGCTCTAAGTCTTCTGATGGCGTTGGATTCGCAGCAGTGTTTCCGGACAGTGTCGTGTGAGGACATTTACTATCCTCGGCTAGCATTTTTACAGCTGAATTGTATGCCATTCTTGCAGCACTTATCTGTATTGTATCTATGCCTGTGTCATCATTTGTGGTTGTCTCAGACTCCCTTAGTGCTCTACAGGCTATAGTAAAATTTGATACACCTCACCCCCTAGTCCTCCGTATCCAACTTTGGCTATGCCGTATCTCTACCAAGCATAAAGATATTGTTTTTTGTTGGGTTCCCTGGTCATGTTGACAGGCAGGGCAATGAAAAGGCAGACACTGCTGCGCAGTCAGTAGTACATGAACTTCCAGTTTTATATAGAGGTGTTCCATTCACAGACTATTTTGCTGTTATAGCTACCCACCTTCACACCCGTTGGCAACAACGTTGGTCTGCTCTGCTCAATAACAAACTTCGTTCTATTAAACCGAGTATAGGTTACTGGCCGTCTTCTTGTCATCAGTGCCGAGATTGGGAGACTACTCTCTCCCGTCTTCGCATTGGCCACACTTGTCTTACTCATGGGTGTCTCACGGAAAGGCACCCTGTTCCTCTCTGTGAGACTTGTCAGGTTCCAGTATCGGTTAGCCACATTCTGTTAGACTGCCCTCTCTATCAACGAGCACGCAAAATTTACCTCTGTCGTCATCTCCACTCTACCCTCCCTTCTTGCTGATGGACCCTCCTTTAATCCTGACTCTCTCATTAACTTCTTGACAACTGACTTACTCCACAAACTCTGATGACGATACCTTTCGCACTCTCCTCAGCCCTTTCTACCTCAATCTCTTGCTACTCTCTACCCTTGTACTATCCACTGCCCCGCTGGTCTCCGTACCCTACTAATTATCCCACTCCCTTTTGCCACCTGATACCTCTGCCCTGCAGTGCTGTATAGCCCTTAAGGTTTAGCACTTCTTTTTTATTATAATAATTTGTTCTACTCGTGTGAGCTCTTATGGTTACCTCAGCAAACGTGGCCACCACTGCTCTGTTTGCTCTTATCATATTCCATTCATGGCCTCCTGCAGGTTATACATCACTGCAATGACTACCTTATGTCCACCCCAGACTGAATTGTACCTACTGTGTAATCCCTTTCTCTAGTCTCATTCATTCAATTTCCTCAAATCCCCATTGGTTTTTAATGAGCAGTGCAACCCCTCCTCCCCCTCTGTGTTTAATTCAAAATAGAGGACAAGTGTTGTTATATCGGAGAGGCCAGTTTACTAGATTTCCTTTCTCTCCCTTATTACCAAACCAACCTGTCTCCCAATTTTGTTACTCAATTGAGACTTAATGGTTCAAGACAATGTAACTTAAAGCTTTTTCTCCGAAGTGTGGCTTTTGTGAATTGGTCTAGCCATAATATTGAGTTATTCTTCTGTAAGTCGATGCAAGACAAAGTGGTTTGTAAGTGCTCGAGTCATAGGTGTGCATCACAATTAAAGATGTTTGCAAGTTGAGGGTCACCTGTATTAAAAAATATTGAATAATAAGGAAGATAGAAACAAGTCACTGTAAAGTACTTGTTTTAATTACAAGATTATAATAAATCAATATACAGTACAAGATTCATTTATAAAGAACCCTTTATTTTAAATCATTATAAAACTCAACTTATTTACTTATAATGACTTAGTTTTATAATTAAACTATTATTTACAATATATAATGTACAGCTTTACTATATTTGATTGTGCAAATTGTTTATACATAAATTAAGTAGAATTCCTAGCTGCCTACATATAGCTATGTACCAACAACAAAAGAGGTTTTTATAAACTTTCACAAGATCTATTTCCTACTAGACCTTACTAAGTTTTCATATAAACTATGAAATCTTCATTCTTGTACACTTCCACACTAGTCTATTGTCAGTAAACAATACTGCCAGACTCGACAAAAGTACATTCAACATCGGCAAACAAAAAAATATTTGTATGTTTTTGCTATAATTATGATTCATTCTAAGTTAAAATACACTCAAAACAAAACTGTATAAAATACACATTATTCATTGTGACATGTCTCTCGTGACATGCCTCAAGGTTTTGGCACCAGAGACAACTAAAAATTTCATCATTTTAACGTGTTGATGCTATACTTTGCTGAACTTCATCCCTGAAATAAGAATACATACATGAGATAATGTAAGGATTATCAATTTCTATTCAATTAAGAGTAACAAGTGATAAACATTAACATCCAGATCTAAAATTCTCTCAAAACTTTCTATAAAACAGTATCAATTAGGCATAGAAATTTTTGAGAGAGAAAAAATGTTGATTTCATTGCTAAAAACTGTAATTATGCACAGGAATTAGCTATTTATAACTAATAGCCAATTCTTGGTGTTACCTTGTGTTTCTATGTCAAAACCCCAAGTTATACACTTATAAAGTTAAGACTGAAAGGTCTTCAATAGATACACAAGATAATGTAAGGATAATCAACTCTTAATTACCATATCAGTTGCTATTATGAATAGTTATTAGTGTAAAATTTTTACCGCTAACATCAAAACAGTATCCAGGTCTAAAATTCTCTCAAACTTTTTCTATGCAACATCATCTATGTAACATGAAAAAAGTGGTGACTGTCACTAAAGACTGATTATTATTATTATTATTACAATCAAGGGGGAAGCGCTAAACCCGGAGGATTATACAGCGCCTGGGGGGGGGGGATGTGGAAGGCATTCAGGCTTAATTTGGGGAACTGGAGCACAGATCCAATTCCCTAAATCAAGAGCCCCTCACCAACATCAAGGAACCTCCCTTGAGGGGACTAAAGACTGAAATTATGCAAAAAGACTGCTTTACAATTAATGAAATGGACTATTTCTGGTAGTCTTCAAGGGGAGCTCCTTAGTGTGGTGAAGAGGCTGTTGGTCTCCTTCCTCAGACCAAACCTAATTACCCCCAATCCCCCCTTCCCTATCCCCTCCTCCCCACCCCTCCCTTTGGCCCTTCCTCTTTTTGGCCTTTGGGATTTTTCCCACAGTGCGCTAGTTCCTAGGTAGGAGAAAGGGTACCGGGGTCCATCCCATTCCATTGAGGTTCTTGGCAGTGGCGTAGTTTGCCATGGAATCTGGATCGCCTGGGGATGTCCCAATCCCCCTCTGGTATCCCGGAGGGTGGCTTTGGGGCGACGGGTGTATCTCTGGAAGCCACCTTTCGGATTCCAGGGGTGGTGGCCGAAGGAGGTATGCTTTGTGACGGATATCCGGCAGCCCTCTCTTTTGTCCACTGAGGTAACTCGGCAGATGTGAAGTTGCTATCCCGGATTGCTGGTTTACTGGCATGAAGGGTAGGGTATGGCACGGGTTCCATGCTGCATCTGCGGTGCTGAAGTCCTCTTGGGTGCGAAGGGAGATTTCCGGCCTTTTCATTTCTCCTGGGAACTATTCTTTTTTTTTTTTTTTTTCTTAAAAACAAAAAAGAAAAGTAGCAGCCTAACCATGGAGAACCCAGTCCATGAACCTAGTACCCCCAGGCCCCTTCTTGATACCACACCCCATTCTGACCCTGCCTCGTTTTTTTATCACTCTTCGGATACTCCTGATGCCCCTGTACTGTTTCCTCACCCGCTTCAGGTACCGGGGTTTCCACCGACTACTTCGATTTATCTGACCTCTGCTCTCCTTTGACTATTCTTCCAGCCTCTCCCTCTACGGTGCAGCAATTTTCAAATCGCCAGCCCGTTTCACGTCAGACCAACTCCGGTCCCACTCCTAAACGACAATTGCCTGATGATAATACTTCACAACCACCACGTTCTTCTCAGAAAATATCAACACATCAAGCACTCCCTCTCCATGCTGAGTTTCGGAATGCACAATGGACTAAATTCTTTACTTTACGAACCACTTCCTCGATTGCCTATCTTTCCGACCATAGTATATTGGCAAGGCGCTCCTCTGCCATGTTGGTCGAGATATTTCCTTTCATGCTCTGAAGAGTGGTATGCACATCATCACTGTTCAGAATGCTACCCAAGCTCATGATCTTTCTCTTCTTTCACATATCGATACTATTCCTGTCACTATCGAAAAACATCATTCCCTCAATTTTTGTAGTGGTACTGTCATTCTGCCCCATACCATAGTCCAACAGAATTTTCAGGCATGTGGCAATGACTTTCTTGAACAGCTGGAACTCCAAGATCTCCCAATCCTCAAGGTAAACACTTATGTCCTTCCTGCCCGCGGGCGGAGACGATACCCTTGCAATGTGGCTCAATTAACTTTCAACAACCGTGAACTCCCGTCCTCTGTTTATGTAGCAGGACATCGGTTACAAGTTCAAAAGGTGATCCCTACACCGTAACAGTGTAGAAATTGCTGGCAATTTGGTCACCCAGCGAAATATTGCAGATCTATAGCCGAATGCCCAGTCTGTGGTGCTGACAACCATTCTAATACGTCTTGCAGTCGGCCTCCCTCTTGCCTTGTCATGAGGCTCACCCTTCGTACTCTCACCATTGCCAGGTCTACTTAAATGAGCGAGAAATCCATTGCCTCAAAGAAGCTGAAGGTCTCCCTTATTCTATGGCAGTTTCTCAACTGTGCCTCCAAGGGAGACTGCCCCGTATTTTTTATTCTCGTGTTTCTAAACGTCCCCCCGCTTCTACGGTCCCATAGTCACTTCTGTCTCTAATTCTTTTGCTGTCCTGGGCTCAGAAGTCCCTACTTCAACACCTCAGTCTGTTCTCACTTCTTCGTGTTCTCCCTCGCAAGCCCCGATATCAACAAGACTTCGTACAACACCACCTCCCAATCGTCCCTCTACTTCTCAGAAGTCCAAAAAATCTCTATTGCTCAAATCTTCTTTAACCCCTCCTTCACTTCTTCCACCTCCAAATTTTACATTCCCGGTCTCTACCTAATTCTTTCCCTCTCACTGGCTCTGTTACAAGTGTGGAGGTTCACCCTCCTCCTCGTGTTGTGCCTTCCTCCTCTGTCCCCTCCCCAGTTTCTTCCTCTTCTGCCACCTCCCAGGTTTCTGCCTCTTCAATCCCCTCCCACACTTCTTTTCCAGTTCCCTCCACCCTTTCGTCCACCCCTACTTTGGTACAGTCCATTACGGTTCCAATCTTTACTCACCCTCCATCTCCAATATTGTCTCCGATGTGATGTCTTTGAATTCTGAAACATTTGAAGCTATCTCTGAATATATTGCAGAGACCAAACCATCAATGGACACTGATCCACCCCCTGTTCCTTCTCTTTCCTCTCCTCCATCTGAGCAACTCCTTTCTTCACAGTGCACCATTCCTTCGCTGCTTGAACGTTTTCCGCTACCGCCGCATGTGGACTTTTCTAACCCCTCTAGTCTGCAGGTACCCTTACCTGCGGATTTTTAGTATCTTTATCGTTGCCAATCATGGTCTATTTACAGTGGAATATATGCAGCCTCAGGGGTAATCGAGGTGAGCTTCAGATGTTGCTCTCCCAGTTTTTCCTTGTTGGTGTTTACTTACAAGAACCAAAATTACACTCTGCAGTTATCTATCCCATCACAGGCTATAATTTATTGTATTCTTCGGATCCTTTTAGTGATGGGACCTTTAATGAAAGTGCCCTTCTACGCACTGATATTCCGTACCATCAGCTATTTGTTCATACTTCGCTGCATTACACAGCAGCCCGTATCCACCTGCATAGGTGGTATGCACTCTGTTCTTTGTATCTCTCTCCTACTTGAGCATTGTCTATCCCAGATGTTGCCTTTCTTGTTTTGTCCTTACCACCACCACTTCTGTTACTTGGCGATTTTAATTCCCATCATTTCCTCTGGGGGGGTCTCACTGTGATTCCCGTGGCATTCAGTTGGAGGCTTTTCTTGCTTCCCACCCCCTCCATGTTTTAAATACAGGTACTCCAACCCATTTTGATCCTCGTACTCATACTCTCTCTTGCATTGATCTCTCAGTCTGCTTTTCCTCTACTGCACTAGACTTCACCTGGTCTGTTCTCCCGGACTTGCATGACAGCGATCATTTTCCAATCATTCTTACTTCTTCATATTCACCACCTCTCCATAGCCCACGCTGGCAATTTGATCAGGCAAATTAGGACCTTTACTCACAACTAACTACTTTTAGTGAGGTTCCTTCTTCGTCCTCCATTGATGAGCTTTTACATCTCTCCTCGTCCTCCATTTTAACCGCAGCCTTTCATTCTATACCCCAAACCTCGGGCAGGCATTCTCAGAAGTGCATGCCTTGGTCTCCTGCATGTGCTCGTGCAGGACGTTTGAAACGCGCTGCGTGGGGCACATACCAGAAGCGTGCGGTCGCTCGCCGTGTCATTCGTGACGCTAAACGCACTTGCTGGTGAGATTATGTTTCCACCATCACCTCTGCTTCCTCTATGAGTGCAGTCTGGAAAAAAGTGCAGAAATTGAGTAGCAAATACTCTCCTGACCTGGCTCCCGTTCTGTGGGTTGCCGGTGTTGATATAGCAAATCCTCTTGATGTTGCCAATCATCTGATCCGTATTTCTCAGGGGCTCCATCTATGCCCCTCGTTTCTTTCCTCAAAGTCTGCCAGAGAGTTAGCACCCTCGGGCTTTTCTTCTCTCAAAGAAGAACCGTATAATGTGCCTTTTGCATTTCAAGAACTAGAGGTGACACACTCAGCTTGCCGATCATCGGCAGCTGGGCCTGACGACATTCATATTCGGATGTTACAACATTTACATAAGTCAGCCCTTGCAGTCCTCTTACACCTCTTCAATCTTATTTGGTCACAAGGAGTTCTTCCCCAGCTGTGGAAATCTGCCATTGTTCTCCCGTTCCGCAAACCGGGTACTACGGGACATGATGCCTCCCACTATCGTCCCATTGCTCTTACCAGTGCAGTTTGCAATGTGATGGAATGTCTAGTAAATCGACGTTTAATGTGATATTTAGAAACACACAACAGTCTCTCCACTAGTCAACATGGCTTTCGTAAGGGCCGTTTTACCATAGACCCCTACTACGCTTAGATACGCATGTTTGTAATGCCTTTGCGAATAACCACTCAGTTATTGCCATATTTTTTGACCTTGAGAAGGCATGTGACACAACTTGGAGGTATAATATTTTGGCCCAAGCCCACTCCTTAGGCCTCCGAGGCAATCTACCATCCTTCCTTAAGAACTTTTTAACTGACAGACATTTCTGTGTTCGGGTTAATAAGGTGATCTCCCCAGACTTTGTCCAAGCTGAAGGTGTCCCCAAGGGATGTGTTTTGAGTACAACACTTTTTCTCCTTGCTATAAATGATTTGGCCTCTAGTCTTCCATCCAATATTTGGTTGTCTCACTATGTTGATGACTTCGCTACTGCTTGTGCAGGCGCTGTCACCTCATTACAGTTTCTCTCCAGCATGTGGTCGACCGTGTTTCTAATTGGGCCACCACGCATGGGTTTAAATTTTCCAGTACCAAAACTCGCCAAATTACTTTCACAAGACACTTTGTCATTTCCGATCATCCTTTGTACCTTTATGGCTCACGTATCCCTGAACGTGATAGTCATGTTTCTAGGCCTTCTCTTTGACTGCAGGTTATCCTGGAAACCTCTATGAAGGCAACTTGTCACAGCCGGCTGAACCTTAAAACCCTTGCTCATCTTTCATGGGGAGCTGATTGTCAAACTCTCCTTCCCCTACATTCAGTCCTCATTTTATTGAAACTATTATGGTGACCAGATCTATTCAGTGGCCTCTCCTGCTACTCTCTCTAGCCTTAATTCCATCCATCATCAGGGATTACATTTATGCCTTGGTGCTTTTCGCTCTTCCCGTTGAGAGCCTCTATGCAGAAGCAAATTTTCCATCCTTGTCCGATCACCGTGATGCCTATTGCCTTCGCTACTATGTATGCTCTCATGATCTCCGCAATCCTTCCATTTATAGAATAGTCACCGATATTAGTAGACATTCTTTATTTGTTTGCCGTCCCTTTTCTCTTCGCCTACATTCGCTCGTCTTCCCTTCAGTTGCCACCTTTCTATGTTCATGTAGCATCTCACTTTTCCCTGCCCCCCTGGGAAGTTCCAGCTGTTCGAGTCTGTTCTTTCTCATTCCCTTGCTCAAAAGCCCAACTGGCTATGGTAGCTTCCCGCTCTCTTTTTCTTGACCACTTCCACTCTCATTCTCATGCCATCGCAGTGTACACAGATGGCTCCAAGTCTTCTGATCGTGTCGGATTCGCAGCAGTGTTTCTGGACAGCGTCATGCGAGGGCATTTACTGTCTTCGGCTAGCATTTTTACTGCTGAATTGTATGCCATTCTTACAGCACTTATCCGTATTGCATCTTTGCCTGTGTCATCATTTGTGGTTGTTTCAGACTCCCTTAGTGCTTTACAGGCTATACAAAAATTTGATACACCTCACTCCCTAGTTCTCCGTATCCAACTTTGGTTACGCCATATCTCTACCAATCATAAAGATATTGTTTTTTGTTGGGTCCCTGGTCATGTTGACGTACAGGGCAATGAACAGGCAGACACTGCTGCGCAGTCAGCAGTACATGAACTTCCAGTTTCATATAGAGGTGTTCCATTCATGGACTATTTTGCTGTTATAGCTACCCACCTTCACACCCGTTGGCAACAACTTTGGTCTGCTCTGCTCAATAACAAACTTCGTTCTATTAAACCGAGTATAGGTTACTGGCCGTCTTCTTGTCATCAGTGTCGAGGTTGGGAGACTACTCTCCCGCCTTCACATTGGCCACACTCGTCTTACTCGTGGATATCTCATGAAGAGGCGCCCTGCTCCTCTCTGTGAGAATTGTCAGGTTCCAGTATCGGTCAGCCACATTCTGTTAGACTGCCCACTCTATCAACGAGCATGCAGAATTTCCCTCCAACGTCGTCTTCGCTCAGCTGCTCTCTACCATCCCTTCTTGCTGATGGACCTTTCTTTCATCCAGACTCTCTCATTGACTTTTTGACAACAACTGACTTACTCCACAAACTCTGATGATGATGCCTTTAGCACTCCTCAGCCCTTTCTACCTCAACCTCTTGCTACCCTCTATCCCCACACTATCCCCTGCTCCACTGTTTTCTGTAACCTACTAATCATCCCTCCCCCCTTTTGCCGCCCGATACCCTCGCTTCCTTCCCTGCCCTGCAGCGCTGTATAGCCCTTGTGGTTTAGCGCTTCTTTTTGATTATAATAATAATGATATTTCTGGTAGTGTTAACCTGTGTTTCTATGTAAACAAACCAAAGTTAATATGAAACCTTTGTGGAATTTATACAGTAAAGTATAATGTGCAAAGTATACAGTTAGACCTTTCAAGAAAGAACTTTGAAAGGACTTGAGTTGATCAGTCAGTTGAGCAGAGGTCAAAAATATTAGCAGGTGGTGTATTTGAATGCACGAAAATTTGTATGTACTAGTACACCGGAGAGTTAAAAAAGGTAAAAGTAAATAAAAGCTTTCCTGATGAATAAACCAACAATTTTTAAGGTTGTGGTTGCCAAATTTCTTTTTCTTAAAGTTAACCTTAAAACTTCAAGAGGAAAGCAAAGAATAGCTATATCCTTTCAGGACATTTACAGTATAACCCATATTGAGTGATGCAGTGTTGTGCTCTAAGCAAAGGGACTTCAATGATTATAAAACATGCTGTCTTGCTGATATGTTTCACAAATGATGTGTAAAAGGGTATGTCCTTTAGGATATACAAGCCATCATATGTCTACATTCTGCAGTTCACAAATAAAGAATACAGGGACCGAAATTACAAGAATATTACTGATGAATAAGGCATGTGCAACACTTGGTTATCATTATTGTCAATAAAGATATCCAAGTGTTGCATGTCTTATTCATCAATTTGTCTGTATAAGAGCATTACTGTATAGTGGGACACAAATTCATAGGTGTAATTTATGTAAGAAGTAAACCTTGATAGATGCATTATTAATGAAGGTTTAAGGAAATAATGCATATACATGAAGCAAGTGAAGTCTTGCAGAAAATTAAGTATTACAGTACTGTATCACATTTTTCTCAAGGTCAGTGGTCAAGAGAGGATGTAACTATCTTTTGTGCTAATATGACTTGCTCTGTAAGCTTTGAGGAGCATTACAGTATTTTAACCCTTTGACTGTTTTGGTCGTATATGTACGTCTTACGAGCCAGTGTTTTGGACATATGTATACTCAATAATTCTACCGGCTTCAAATCAAGCAGGAGAAACCTGGTAGGCCCACATGTGAGAGAATGGGTCAGTGTGCACCTCAAAAAAAACCCTGCAGCACGCAGTGCATAATGAGGAAAAAACTTACCTTTTTTTTTTTTTAATAAAACGCCGACTTTGAGGTGTATTTTCGTATAGTATTTATCGTTGTATTTTTGTTTTCATGGTCTTAGCGTGATAAAATGGAAAACATATTATAGAAATAGAGATGATTTTTATTAGTTTCGCAATGAAAACAACCTTGAAATTGAGCTCAAAGTAGTGGAAATGTTCGATTTTTACCAATGTTCAGGAGTAAGCAAATCACACCACACGTCCAATACACGTCAACTTGGGAGTCTAATATTCTTTCATTAGTGCACTGATATTAATTTGTGTGAAATTGGCCAAATTGCCAATTTCTGATCACTTTATTGGGTAGTTGAAGTAGGTGAATGGGCGGTTTCTTGTACTCAATCGACAAAATAGAAGTAAATAAGTAATTTTATTCAGGTATACACAAATACAGTTACATAGATTATCATACATAGTAGCATATGTATGGAGAACCTAGGATAACCCAAAAAAGTCAGACAAAGTGACTAATTTCCAGTACCTGGCTTGGGCTTGTCATATATGATTTTTGGTAAATATTTTTTTTCTCAGTTGTTTGTTGGGCTATCTTACTGAAACTTGGTCAATGTATGATGGAAAGATGCTCTCAATGTACACCACAAATGAAAAAAAAAAAACGGATGATAAATAAGGGAGTTCACTTCTCAGCCATTAGCCGCCTCTTTGCGGTATATTTTTGTATGGTTTTATGGTTGTATTCTCGTTTTTTGGTCTCATCTGATAGAAGGGAAGACATATTACAGAAATAGATATGATTTTGTTTGGTTTCATGACAAAAAGTACCTTGAAATTGAGCTCAAAGTAGCGGAAATGTTCGATTTTTGCTGATGTTCAATGATCTTTGTGTAAGTTAAGTTGGTTAATTTTATTAAGTGTATTCTAACCTAACCATTCTGTAATCCGACACACTACAGGTCCCAATGATGCCGGATTTGTGATGGAGGACCTTAGTAATAAACAACAATTATTTGCATCAATTTATACTCTTATGTTCCATTGGAGCAATGTTGGGCTATGCATTTCCCCATGTTCGAAGTACTAAGACACCTCGTAATACATCCAATGTAAGAAACTAGTGTATGTAGTGCTAAACATTAAAAAAATAAAAAACTGAAAAATAATACTAATAATTTGACATCAATAAATTGGAATATGTAAATATCACTTGCAAAATTTTTTTTTTTTTTTTAATTCCACCGAGTCTTATTTGACTTATGAAAATGCATTTTTTCAATATGCAAGAAAAAATTATTGTTTTTCAAAATCTCGCCACAAGAAATTTATTTTCCTGCTATGCCACAGTTTAAGGGTTAATAAATGAAAAGGAGGAACACAGAAACTGGAAAAATGTATGATTAAGAATAAATTGAGAAAATGCTTATCTAATGCCTATACAGGTGATGGCAAATTAATTTTCAATATCTTCTCTTCATAAAAGAGAATACCAATACTTACTGCAGGCTGAGTTTGTGGTTTATATAAGCATGGTTACTTCTTGGCAAACCCCTTCTTAAGTACGTACTGTGTATATTACCGGTAGCTGGTCTGCTCACAGACAGTGCCATGGGGGCGTTGACCCCCGAAACCCTTTCCAGGTATACTAAAATGAAGTGTCTGTTCATGGGCAAAAATGCTTACCTTCATCATTAGAGTAGCAATTATGGCAGTGTAACTTGTGATTGCGTACTCTCACATCAGCACCAGCTGACCCATTGCCTAATTGTATGCCACACACACAACATTTGAAGCATGGGATATGATAAAACAGTCGCAAACTTTCAATTATCATGGCAGCTCCCCGACCTGAAATGAAAAGTACTTATATAACTAGCATAAATCAATTTCCACTCTTTATGTCATTTCAGCATAAAATGCTTGGAATAACTATTAAAATAAAAAATTACAAACCTAACTCCTCAGAGCAATGTGAGCACTTCTTTTTTCCTGAGACACTAAGCAGTCTTTGATCTTTTGCAGAGTTGGCTTCTTGTTGAGAAGTAGGAGGGGATGGCTGGCCAGGCCCCATCCCAGATTGATAAAGTGGGGCATGTGTATGAGAAACACTCAAAGCATCTGCATTCATGTAGTCATGGTAGTTTTCATCACGATAACTGTTGCTGCCATAGTTATTTCCCAATCTAATTATGCAAAAAATAACATTTCAAATAAATATAGTACACTGTATAGTCACAAATTTGAATATACATCAGCTATAAATGTAAATATTTCATGCATATATTTTTTGACTATTACTTAAGTAAAATATATACACCTGTAATTCATGCAAGATTTGGAAAATTAATAAAAATTATTCATAATGGAAATTCTTAGACTTCAATATACAGTGTATTATTACTTACCTGCCACTGGCATTTGTGTACGTATTCTTGCTGTTTTTGTTGTTAACTCTTTGGGTTAGGTTATGAATAATTGAATCTGGAAGAGCTTTGTCACCATTTGGCGCAGGTGATGGTATGTGAGGTTGGTAAGTGGTGGCCTGGTTTCTCCAACTACTGGTGGTGGTATTATTATTGCAGCTCTGACTTGGTGAAGGATTTCTCAGGGACTGAGGATAGTTTGAGTATGTGGAGGATGAGTTTTGAGGAGTGTAATTAGATGTGTTCTGTGTAGGAGGGTAACTTGTTATTTGTGGTAGAGTTGAATTATGTGAGGTTTGTTGTGGTGACACATTCTGTGATGACTTAGGCTGTGGTTGAGCAACTGGAAGTTTCTGACGGGAAATTCTATCCTGTTGTTCTAGTCTTCTTTGTTCTGCTTCCTGTAAGATGGAAGTTACTTGTATTTTAAAGGGTACTGCATAAAGAAACAAACATATAATCTGGCCAATGTTACATTATTTTCAACACATTCTAGTTGAAAAACAGGGTCCAAAACAAACATTGTAGGCATTCTAGCTACCAACACAACCTTCTGTTCATTAACCCGTAAACGGTCCAAATGTATATATACGTTCTCTCCCGTAGTGCCCCAACTTTTTTGAGAAAAAAAAACATTTTTTTAATAGGAAAAAAGAGCATATGGTACCCAGGCATCCCCAATTATTTTAATATGATGCACAGTGAGTGCACACACCCATTCTCTCATGTCTAGGCGACTCAGGCTTATCGTGCCAATGTTGAATGAATGACAAATAAAACTTATATATACGTTTGGGGCACTAGTGGTAAAAACGTATACAGTGGTCCCTCATTTTTCGTAATTAATCCGTTCCTGGAGCCGTTACTATAAACGAAATTTACAATTTACGAATCAATTTGCCCATAAGAAATAATGTAAATACAATTAATCCATTCCTAACACCCAGAAGTATTAAAACAAAAAAATTTTTTACATGAAATATACATGTAGTACATAAACAATACAATGGGAAATGATGAATGAAACATTAACAGCATAACACTTACCTTTATTGGAGATTCTTCTTAGTGTATGGGAGACTGGAGGAGGAGAGAGAGTGGATTGTTTATAATTTGGAAGGGGAATCCCCTTCCAGCAACACCTCAGGTACCAATTGCTTTTCTGGGGTTGCTTGTCTTCTCTGTTTTTTAATGCCACTAGGACCACCTTGAGAGTCAATGGAGTCCTGTCTCGCAAAATAACTGTGGAGAGAGCTCTGTTTCTGGCATCTCTAACACTTCCCTAAAATGGCCCAAGACTTTGTCACTGTACATGTTGCCAATATGGCTTGCAACAACCTTGTTAGGGTGATGTTTCTCCATAAAGCTTTCCATCTTACCCCACATAGTAAAAATCTCTTTAATTTCTGAAGAAGGCACCTTCTTCCATCTCTCTTCCTCCTCCTCTGCAGCAAGATTCTGAGATGCGATGTGTTGCTCTTCCTGCTGAAGCTCTTGCAGCTCCTCAGTGGTGAGCTCTTCGTTGTGGTCTTCCACCAATTCCACATCCTCCAAACTCACATCCAACCCCATGGAACTCCCCAGTGCCACAATTGATTTTACAACAGACAGGCTCATCAGGGTCAGTCCCAAACCCTTCAAAATCCCTCTTGTCGACACAATCTGGCCACAATTTTCTCCAGGCAGAGTTCAAAGTCCTGGTAGTCACTCCCTCCCAAGCCATACCTATAAGGGTTATGCAATGGAGGATGCTGATGTGTTCTCTCCAAAATTCCCTTAGGGTCAAGTGAGTGTCTGTGGTCACAGTCAAGCACCTGTGAAACACTGCTTTTGTGTAGAGTTTTTTAAAGTTTGCAATGACCTGCTGGTCCATGGGCTGGAGGAGAGGAGTGGTATTCGGGGGCAAGAACTTTACTGTGATGAACCCAAACTCCTCGAAATTAGGTCATCCAAGTTTGGAGGATGAGCAGGTGCATTGTCCATTACTAGCAGGCACTTGAGATCCAATTTCTTTTCCAGGAGATACTCCTTCACACTAGGGCCAAACACTTCATTGAACCACTCGACGAAAATTTCCCTCGTGACCCATGCCTTACTATTAGATTTCCAAAACACACACAATTTACTCTTCATAACATTGTTTTTCCTGAACACTCTGGGATTTTCTGAATGGTACACTAGTAATGGCTTCACTTTGAAATCCCTACTAGCATTAGCATCAGCCTGTCTTTCATAGGCTTGTGTCCTGGCATTGCCTTTTCCTCTTGTGTAATGATGGTCCTCTTTGGCATTTTCTTCCAAAAGACGCCTGTTTCGTCACAATTGAACACTTGTTCAGGTTTCAGTCCTTCAGCCTCTATGTACTCCTGGAATTCATGCACATATTTTTCAGCCGCCTTGTGGTCCGAACTGGCAGCCTCACCATGCCTTACCACACTGTGTATGCCAGTACAGTTCTTAAATCTCTCAAACCAGCCTTTGCTGGCCTTAAATTCACTCACATCACCACTATTTGCAGGCAATTTCTTTACCAAATCTTCATGCAACTGCCTAGCCTTTTCACTAATAATCGAAGTCATAAGAGTATCTCCTGCTAATTGTTTCTCATTTATCCCCACCAATAATAACTTCTCAACCTCTTCGAGTACTGGTGATCTCATTTTTGTCAGCATAGTTACCCCCTTTGCAACAACAGTGTCCTTGATTTCCTTTTTCTTGGCCACTATGGTTGTGTAGGGTTTCTTATACATCCTGGACAGTTCGGCCACACTTGTACCACTTTCATATTGTTCAATGATGGTTTTCTTAAATTCAATCATATTTCTCACCTTGTTTACCACAGGCTTGGCACTAGGAGCTTTCTTTGGAGCCATGGTAGCTTATTTAGTATACTTGCAAGCACTAAAATATAAATGGAATAATATGAAATATTTCGCTGGAGCACGTGAGGGGACCTTCGCTCACTGGTAAACAATGCCAGACTGGCTGCCGCCACAGCTCACGCCGTGGGTACGCGTCCGGGACGAATTACGACTCGCGAGTCAACTTATGAAAAGCGAGTCCATGTTTATACGAAAATAACCCTATGATTGGCGAAATTTACGATTGCTGGGAACTACGAAAAGCGAGGGACCACTGTATATACGTTTGGACCGTTTACGGGTTAATCATGTCCCCAGACCTCTCCTATGTAACTTGCCCTGCATTTTTAAAATAATCTATCATCACAAAAGATCAAAGTTTTAACCTACTTCTCAGCTCAGTAAACCATAACCAAGAATGCTTGTCCCAGTAACTGAAGCAGACCTAACACACTCAGAAAACATACTGGGAAAGAAGTAGGGGGGACCCCTTCCTTTCCTCAGAAGAATTGTCAAAATTTACTAAAACTAACCATTTCACTAGTATGTCTTCCACTCTATCAATTGGCATCAAGAAACAGCAAATAAAATCATACAAATCACCCTCGAAAACTGCCCCAAGGTCACTATTTTAACCACTTCCATCCGTGCCATAGGTTTGAGGTCACTGTCCATGCCGTTGGACTGTGCCATGAGCTCAGCTTACTCATATAAACTGTGAGCGGTAAATTTGGGCCTAGATATGAGAGAATGTGTCTTTGCAGTAGAGCGATAAGTGTACACCATATAAGAAAAATCCTGCAGCAAGCAGTGCATTATAAGAAAAAAAATGCAAACATATTTTTGGGGTTGAAACTATGTGGTGTATTTTCATGTGCTTTTAATGGTTGTATTTTCGGTTTCTTATCCTCATTTGATAGAATGGAAGATATATTACAGAAATAAGAGATGATTTTGATTGGTTTCAGGACTGAAAATAGCTTGAAACTGAGCTCAAAATAGCAGAAATGTTCAATTTTAGCCAATATTCAAGAGTAAACAAATCACATAATTTGTCTAATACATGTCCAACTGGTGGGTCTATTATGCATTCACGAATGTGCTGATATTATTTATACAGGTTGGCCATCACTAATACGACATCATCGGGACCTGTAGGGTGGCAGATTAGTGACTTTGCCGGATTACAGAGTGGTTAGGTTAGAATACACTTAACCCAACAGCGATATTTACACATTGGTGATTTCACCCAATTTACACCCTATTTTTGGCATATTTCACCATTCCAGTCTACCAAACTCAACTATTTTGCTAGTATTCCTTCTATAGTGCTGTTTAAATTTAGCAAGGTTTATACAAGTGTTGCACTGAACATTCTCTTCAGTGCAACTCTTGTAACAACAGATCTCGCAAGATCTGTTGTTTCTGGTTTGTTATACAAAATGGTTAGCTGGTTTATTATGTGTTAAAATCCATCAACTACACGATAGTCTTTAACCCTTTCAGGGTTGGTGCCGTACTAGTACGGCTTACGCACCAGGGTTGGTGCCGTACTAGTACGCGTAAATTCTAGCGGCCTCAAATTAAGCAGGAAACAGCTGGTATGCCTAAATGTGAGAGAATGGGTCTCCATGGTCAGTGTGCGCGGTACAAAAAAAATCAGGGACCCAGTGGTGCATTGTGGGAAAGCCGTTTTATTACACCTTGTTCACCATGTCTAGCTCTAAGAAACTCCTCACTCCTCGGCTAATTGGGGCTCTTTTGTTCCCAAGTGACAGTTCAAACACAGATGGAAGTGTCAGTGAAGATGAATTTCATGGTTTTGAGGAGTTTGTGACCAAAAGCAATGCCCTGGAAACCTGAAGGAAGGAAGAAAGGGAGGAAGGAAGAGATGAGAGGAAGGAAGGAGAGAAGGAAGTAAGGAGACCATCAACCTAGGATAACCCCAAAAAATTAGACAGTGACTTATTTCCATGTGGGTTGGTGGGGTGGGGAGGAAGTCGACAGGCAGTGAGGGTGGTGACTGATGGTGTTATTTGTCATTGTGACACTAATTATGCCAGTGACTCAGCATATTTACAAGTCCATCCCCACACAACAACTACCAGCTTACAGAAGCTGTAGCAGTTCTGGGAAATGTCCAGTGACTTTATATGTATATATATATATGTGATAGAAAAATAGTAATAAACATTTTTTTATTCTTGGTTTGTGTAAACATGTTTTGTAAACAATATAATGACTGTATGGTTACTGTGTTGCATACGAGTGAATATACATTCAATATATCTTACATTGGTCTCACAGGCCATAAAATTACTTGAATGAAGAAAGACAGGAAGGAAGAAGTAAGGAAGGAAGGAATGAGGGAAGGTAGGTAGGAAGAGATGAGAGGAAGGAAGAAGGAAGGAGGGAAGGTAGGTAGGAAGAGATGAAAGGAAGGAAGGTAGGTAGAAAGAGATGAGAGGATGGAAGGAAGAATGAAAGGAAGGAAAGAAGGAAGGTTTGTGGGGAGAAAGGAATGTGTTGCGGAAAGCAGT